TGCTCTTGCACTCTCCTACTTGGAAAGAAGTTGTGTTGGGCCCCCTGAAAGCAGCCAGTGGGGGAGAACTGACACCAAAAACAAATGAGGTGAAAGAGGAGAACTGTGGTTTGATGCTCACAGACGAGAGGGGAGACCATGAATGAGAAAGTCAGTGAGCTGAAAATGACTTACACACAGGCACCTCCCAGGGATTATGCTCCCTGTAAATTACTGTAACACACCTTTGTTTAAAGGTGCCTTGAGCTCTAACATCATTGCCCCCTCCCCAGTATTAGGTAGCACAGTTTGGAGGTGAAGAGCACGTTCTGGGTTCCATCTGTCACACTTTGCCACTTACCAGCTGAGTGATGCTGGACAAGTCCCACTGTGTGGAAGCCTGAATTTCTTCACCTGTAAGAGGGGAGGAGTAGGGTGACCTCCTGCAGTTCTTTTTTTCTTTTTTTGAGACAGCCTCAAGCTATCCCCGTGGGTAGAGTGCTGTGGCATCACAGCTCACAGCAACCTCCAACTCCTGGGCTCAAGTGAGTCTCCTGCCTCAGCCTCCCAAGTAGCTGGGACCACAGGTGCCCACCACAACACCTGGCTATTTTTCGGTTGCAGCCGTCATTGTTGTTTTGGTGGGCCCAGGCTGGATTTGAACCTGCCACCTTAGGTGTATGTGGCTGGTGCCTTAGCCACTTGAGCCACAGGTGCTGAGCCCCTCGTGCAGTTCTTGTAAGAATAAAGGAAAATAAAATGTGGCAAGTGACTATTTGATGGTGTTTTATAAGTGACAAAACAGATGCTCCCTCTTCTGGGTCCCCTTGGCTGGTCACTGCGGTTCCAGGGAAGCAAGCAGGCATCCCGTCCCTGGCCTGGAACTCTTCTATTCATGTGAAACACGAATCCCATGCTGAAATGATTTTCAGGTTACAAGTGATTTTTCATGTACGTTCTCTTTAATTTGCATTTCTCTGCCAAATTCACACATCAGCAATCCCAGAACTCCGATGAAAGCCTTAGGTAGGACCTTCTGGAAGATTAGGTCTGGGCAGATCCTAAGAACTAAGTGCGAGAGCAGAAACTACCATGTCACTCCACCTTCAGCTGCAGACAGGTAGATTATTTACTTTGTGGATTGATGTGACACAATTTTTAATCCCATGTTGGCCATGCTCTGCCACTTCCCCCCACTGTCTGTGGGGTGTGCTCAGGCGCTGTAAACTCAGGAAAGTAATGTAAAACCAGCAGAGTAAATCCAGTTCTCATACCTCTCACCCAGCCCCAGCCTTCTTCTCTCTTTTTTACTTTATTTCAGCCTTAGACAACCAGAAGCAAACACATTCTCAATAATAATATCTCCACAAGAGCCCCATTTTGGAAACAATAGAAAGACTCCCCAGATTGGAAGCTGAGAAGTGAGAAGCAGGGCTGTAATCCAGGCCTGGCAATGGTTAACTGTGGGCCCTCGGGCGAGTTAAGTCCGTCCTCTGGGCTTGGGTTCCTTTTCTGTAAAATGAAAAGAAGAATGCAGGGCTGGCTCTGCGCCAAGCACCTTCAGTTATGTCACGTTACTCAATCTAAAAGAAACCTACAGATAGGAATATTCTTCTGTATCATGCAACTCAGAAAATGGAGGAGCAGAAGAGCCAAGTGGCCAAAGGCCACACAGGGGCAAAACAGAGTGGAGATTTAAGCTTCAGACCACCTGCTTCCAAATGTTACACCTGTCCAATTTATCCAATACAGTCTACAGTGCTCTTTCCTAGTCTAATAGGAAATGAATTTTGTTCTCTGGGTACCACTAATCAGATTTAGTTGGCTTAGACTATTTGAAGGAGCCTCCCCTCCAGGCCTTGGGGTCTTACTCTTATGAAGGCAGAAACCCTGAAAAGATTCAATACATCTATCAATTAGTCAGCTATTACATTTGCTGATACCCTGATATTATATTAATACGAGGTAGTTTTGTTGCCATCAATGGAAATGTAACACTTGCCTTCATCTTTAATGCTTCTTCCAATAAGAAAAGAATTTTTTTAATAGGGAAAGCCCCTTCCCTTTCCATCCTTGGAAGTTTAATATTTACATAATTGACTTTAACTTTAGTTATTTAATATTGTTTATTAATAATCAAAGATATTTCCCAAGCATATATTTAAAAGATTCTACCAGCGGTTCTCAACCTTTCACAGGGGTCGCCTAATATCAGATATTTACGTTACGATTCATAACAGTAACAAAAATTACAGTTATGAAGTAGCAATGAAAATAATTTTATGGTTGGGGGTCACCACCACATGAGGAACTGTATTAAAGGGTTGCGGCATTAGGAAGGTTGAGAACCACTGTTACAGAATCAGGGCAGAGGACAAAGACTACTCGGTTCCTGAGAAGGCTGAGCATGAGCACAGGACGCAGAGCTACTGGCCACTCGGCCGTGCAGTGTGTCATTCTCCCTCTTGTTTTCTGCAGTTGGGCTCACATAAAAAGTAAACTAACTCGAGTGCATGATGTTTGGAAGAGGCAAGTACATTGGTGACACCCCACTCCATGGAGGATGGACAGGAATCCTAGTGTTACCTGTTTGTTGTCAAACAGGTACGTGGTGAGTTTACTTCCTTCCCTTGTAGTGATACTCTCCAAAGATAATGGTTGGTTTTTTGTTGTTGCATCCATAGGCTGGCCCAGTGCCTCTCGCATAGTAAGTGCCCAATAGATACATGTTACGTAAATGAACAGGACAAGGTGAACCAATAGGAATGATGATTAGGAGAACCTGGAGCAAATGTCCATTGGCAACTGAAATCTGCCTCCATCATGTGTGTCAGCACCCCAAGAGCAGGGACCTTGTTTGACTTCTCTTTGCATTCCCTGAGGATCTGGCTTAATAGAAAAGGGGAAGGGAGAGGGCTGCATTGTCCTCTTTCTGCTGCTTCCATAGTACTAAAAGTCATTCACATTAGTACTTTAGAGAAAATGACTCCCTAAAAATTAACCTGGTTTTGTTCTTAACAGACTCTCAGAGGGCTGAGTCCAAAATGCCCCAACTCTCACTGCTCAGTTGTTAGTTCCCCCACCCGACCCGTTCTCATACGGACTCTCTTCCTGGCTACGTGAGACCTCAGATGAATTCCAGCACCTTCCCCTCCTGGACTCAGAACTGCATCCCTCTTCATCTCCAAAGGACAACCGCTTCTTCCAAAGGTTGGGGGCTGGGTGGCATTTCTACAGCACCCAAGAATCCTCTCTCTGCCCCTTCCTCCTAAAGACAGCCATGCCCAGTGACCCCAAGGTGATCCCCCATCTCACCCTGTGACACCACAACTGACAACTTCTTCTGTTAGAGAGGAGGAAAACACGCTGCTCAGGTCTTCAGTGGACATCTCCTGTGGTGAAGAGGACACCCTGCCATGTAAGAAGCCGGGGAGTGGCACAGCGGGGAATTCATAATGCTTCATTGATTTCTGCTTGTGGGGTCAATTTGGAGATCGACTCAAAGTTGACATAAACAGGAATAAAGTAGTGACTTTGATGGGGAGTGAGTGAGGCCAGTTTACAGTCTGGAGGGAGTAGTGTCCTACAGAGATGAGTAAGACAGACAGGAAATATTCTTGAATTGAGCAAAAATGTGGGAAACATTTGGATGAGAAAACAGAAACAAAGTAAAGAAATGCAGGCAGCTTTAAAGTCCACATCAAAGGTTTTGAAATATAGCAATAACCAGCGTCATCCACTCAGCACTCTTCTCAGCTCTTTGATCTATTACTCTATTTAATCTCAGCAACAAGTCTGGGAGGTAGGTATTAGTATTATCCCCATTTTACAGATTAGGAAAGCAAGGCAACAACTAAGTGGTAAAGAGAGTTGGAATTCGAAGCGTAAGCTCCAGTCTCTACTAATGTTTATTCAGCACTATATGTGACAGTATGCTTTTATCTGACCTTGGAGGCCTACAGATCTATGTGTAAGAAAAAAAAAAAAGCATGTCTTTTGTACCCCTTCAACATGGAAATTATTTACTCTGCGAATTAATGGGACACCATGTTTAATCCCATGTATTTTATATACATTCTTTCCATAAAATACATGTATCTATACGCTGTCACTAAGTGCATATATGCTGTAGTTATTTACAGACTGAACTACAACTGTACCACCTGTCTTCGAGGTTATAAAATCACGCCGCAGTCCCACCTCTACTTTTTAACATGGTTTCCGTTAGCTATTCCTGAGAGTAAATGAGCAGTCCTTGCATTTTGCAGATGGTGAAAGTGGTTTAGAGGAGGTCAATGGCTTAAACAAGGTCACAGATCAAGTTAGCGAGCAACATTTGGCTTAAATTGGAATCAATAACTTCTGTCTGTCCAGCCTGGTCCTTAGAGGGTCTGGCTGTCCTGGGGCCTGGGCCACATTCCAAATTGGGTCATCTGGTGCATGCTGCCTATCTGAAATTCCCCTTGTGGTTTTGCTCACATCTGGTGTTTTTCACTTCTCTTTCTAAACACGTGCTTTGATCCTATTGCTGTTACAGCAGAAAGATGTCCATGGTTCCAAGGAGCATAGCTCATTTAGTGAGAGGTGAAAGACACTCCTCTCTCAACAAGACTTCTAAAAATAAACAGTATCACAGCTTCCCTATGGCATGCTTGCAGCACTTTCCAGAAATCCCCAAGTTTAGTACTGTCTCCATTCTCTCTCTCTACAGCCCCAAACCTCAAATGTGTCTGGACTCTTAACCTCCCGGCTCCCTTGGAACGCCTGCAGGTTTGAAGTCTCCCCTGTGTTGCTTTTCCTTTTGGCCATTCTCAGAGCAGACTGCAATTGGTGACAATGGTTCTGTGCCTTACGTAAGAGTCCTGTGGGCAAGTTTCTCCAGTTCACACATACTGGGCTGGCCTGACAGCTACCTGTATCTACTGCCATGAAACCTTATCTACAACTAGCTTCCCTGATTTTTTTTTAAGCAAACTGTTATTCAGTCTGTTCCTTACCTCATCTTACTAAGTCTGTTTCTTTTTTTTTTAACTTTGAAATTATTTTAATTTAGAAATAAGAAACATCTTGGAAGAAAAAAATGACAAAATATATAGGCAAATTTTTATTCCATGAACTTCTCAAATCCTCAGTTTTTCACCAGTCTCTAAAATGAAAAACACTCTTGAAAACGTATTCAGGCACTAACAATAATGTTATTAATAGGGATATGGATCAGTTTCACAAAGAAGCCAACGAATCCCATCATAGCAAATCCTATCACTGTTGCCATGGCAATCTTTTGAAGTTCTTTTCTATCAGGTTTGGGGCATCTTTGAACCAGCCAAATAGAGTCCTTTACAAACTGCCAATTTGGCTTAACCAACTGCATTACCTGATTCATGATTGCCTGCCAAGCTGCCACCTAACATGCCTATGTCTGTTTCATAATAATGAAATTATTTTTCCTTCACATTAAAAATTTTAGGTAAAGAGAAAGTGAGAGCGGTGGCTCATGCCTGTAATCTCAGCACTCTGGGAGGCCGAGGTGGGTGGATTGCTTGAGCTTGGGAGCTGAGCAAGAGTGAGACTCTGTCTCTACTAAAAATAGAAATACTGAGTGTGGTGGTGCAGGCACCTGTAGTTCCAGCTACTTGGGATGTTGAGGCAAGAGGATCTCTTGAGCCCAAGAGTTTGAGATTGCTGTGAGCTGTGATGCCACAGCATTTTACCCACCGTGACAGAGTGAGACTCTGTCCAAAAAAAAAAAAAAGAGAGAGAGAATAAAAAAATCCACAATCTCAATACTTCACTATAGCCATTATTGTTTTAGCTTGTTTTCTTCCAGTTTTATTTTCCTGTGTTATGTCTATCTTTTTGCTCATTTTTTCACATTGAAGCATAAATTACGTGCAATTTTTATGCCCTGTTCATTTCACTATTTAATATTATAAATGTTTCTCTTGTTGCTACATAATCTTTTAGCTATAAATTTGGAATGAAAGAAGACGTAGGTTTTGACAAGGTGAGAGGGAAAGGGAATCGCTGATCTCTCATAAAGCAATGAACTGTGAATGTTGTCTGTGGGGACCCAGTTCTTCCCCAAGTTAGTGGCTGGGAATGAGGACAGAGAGCACATAACTGAGTATGAAGAGGCAAGATAACCCAATTTTTTTGGAGACCAAAGTTTAATGTGAAATTACAAAAGGTTAAATCAGGATGCAAAACAATTAACCTTCCCTGCCGGGAAAAGGCTACATGTTTTGGTAACGTCTGCCCTAACAGTCCTCTGGAGAGAGCAGTTTATCACAGATATGGCCAGAAGGAGGGATGTTTGGGGAACACTCCTCCTGGGGAAAGAACATCTTCCCATGAGCTGTGGAAAATGATAAGTAATTTACGTTACCCCCACCCATTCAGAGAAGAAATGGGGAGGCAGGACGTTCTTCCTGTCCGAGGGAGGGATTTGGCTTCCTGGCTGTTTTCTGCTCTGTCTTGGTCCGTCTTTCCTTTTCAGTTGCCCCATCAGGCCCTACCCCACACTAAGTATTAGTAGTCAAAATAAGTTAAGTTGTTTGGAATCAACTTTCATCCAATCAAACTTTCTTCTTTTTTTTTTGGTGAGACTGAGTTTCACTCTGTCACCCTGGAGAGAGTGCCTGCTGTGGTGTCATAGCTCAGCAACCACAAGTTCTTGGGCTTAAGGGATCCTCTTGCCTCAGCCTCCTGAGGAGCTGAGACTACAGGGCTGCCATAATACCAGCTAGTTTTTCTATTTATATGAGAGATAGGGTCTCACCCTTGCTCAGTCTGACTTGAAACTCCTGAGCTCAAGCAATCCACCCACTTCAGACTCCCAGAGTGCTGGGATTACAGGCATGAGCCACCATGCCAAACTTTCAACCTTTCTGTGCTGATCCCCCAAACCCAAGACTGCCAGCCTCTCCCTCACTGCACAGAGGCTGAAGCCAGCGGCTTCCACGTGCCCTGCTTAGCAGCCGTGGTGAAGCTCACAGATGAATAGAAGGGCAGAGGCTTTTGCGACCTCCTTCCTCCTTTACTTCTTTGGCCGCTGTTCTCCTATTCTAGGGAGACCAACTGACCTATCATATGAATTGGGCACTTGCGTGCTCATAACGCTGGAAGATTGGGATGGCTATTCTCAAATTACAGATGGGGAAACAGAAGCCCAGGAATTTGTCTATGTAATAATAGATAAAATTATAAAGAGGAAAGAGAACTGAGAAAAGCACAAAGCAAAATCATCCATCATCCACCATCCCAAAAGACTCACTGTTAACTTTTATTTTTTTACTTTTTTTATTATTTTTTAATTTTTTTTATTAAATCATAACGGTGTACATTAATACTATCATGGGGTACAGTGTACTGTTTCTCTATATAATTTGAAGTACTTTCATCCAACTGGTTAACATAGCCTTCATGTCTTTTTCTTAGTTATTGTGTTAAGACATTTATATTCTACATTTAGAGAGATTCACATGTACCCTTCTAGGATGAACCATAGGCGTGATCCCACCAATCACCCTCCCCCCACTCACCCTCCCCTCTTTCCTCCCCTCCCTCTCCCCTCTCCCCATGTTCCTGGGCTAAAATTGGGTTATAGCTTTCCTATGAAAGCTATAAATTAGGTTCATAGGGCTGAGTACATTGGATACTTTTTCTTCCATTCTTGGTATACTTTGCTAAGAAGAATATTTTCCAGCTCCATCCATGTAAACATGAAGGAGGTAAAGTCTCCATCTTTCTTAATGGCTGTATAGTATTCCATGGTGTACATATACCACAATTTATTGATCCATTTGTGGATTGATGGGCTCTTGGGTTTCTTCCATGACCTAGCAACTATGAATTGGGCTGCACTGAACATTCTGATACAAATATCTTTATTGCAGTGTGATTTTTGGTCTTCTGGATATATACCTAATAGAGGAATTATAGGATCAAATGGCAGGTCTATTTTTAATTCTTTAAGTGTTCTCCAGATGTCTTTCCAAAAGGAACGTATTAGTTTGCATTCCCTCCAGCAGTGTAGATGTGTTCCCTTTTCTCCACTGGTAACTTTTAAAATCCATTTCCTTTCATCCTTTCTATGTGTATATTTGTTTAAAAGGACAACCCATAATACATATGAGTTTGTGTGGCTTTACAGAATTGGTATTGCATTATTTCTAGGCGTCTGTTAGAGTGGTTTCAACAACAGAAATTTATTGTCCCATAGTTATGGGGCCTGAAGTCCGAGATCAAGGTGTTGGCAGTTTGTTCCTTGTGTGGGCGGGGAGGGGGTGTCTGTTCCAGGCCTCTCTCCTGGTTTCTGGGGTTTATGGAATCTTTGGCTTTCCTTGGCTTCTGCTGCTTCACCCCCATCTCTGCTTTCCTCTTCATGTGGTGTCATCCCTGTGTGTCTGTCTCTCCACATGCCATTCTTTTTATAAGGACAATAGTCATGTTGGATTAGGGCCCAGCCTACTCCATTATAACCTCATGTTAGCTTGATTAATTATATCTACAATGATCCTGTTTTCAAATAATGTCACATTCTGAGATACTGGGGGGACATATGAATTTGGGGGAGCACAATTCAATTGCTAACAATTATTTGTACAGTATTACATCTTACCCTCCTCCCCCACTTAGCATTCTACTGTGAATATTTTCCAGGACAAATACACTGTTGTCAGGGAAAGAGACTAGAATGCACACATGTGGGCAGGGAGTGAAGCCCCGTGTGGCCTTATAGAGGAGCAGCCCAGAGCCTCGGGGGACGGGAAACATGAGCACAGGCAGACACAGGGTGGTTTTCCTGAGGGCTCCTCGGAAATGGGAAATGCGTATCAGAAAAGGAAAGCTGCAGGCGGGCCCAGCCCCCACCATGGCCGCCATTCCCCACTGCACACCGTCGTCCAGCTTGGAATGTACCCTGGAAGGAGGCCACAGAGAAACCACAGAAACAGACAAGAGGAAATAGGACACGAGGAGGAAGTTTTGGAAAATGAATGTATTAGATTTGTCAACTAGGCAACAATATAATATAATTGAGAAGTCCTACACAAAGTCAAATATGGTACCAAATCCTAGCTCTAACTTGCATTTTTTTTAAATAAAGATTTTATTTTTTAGAGCAGTTTTAAGTTCATAGAAAAATTGTGCAGAAGGAACAGAGATGTGTCACATGCTACCCATCCCGCCCCACACCAGCCTTCCGTCTTAGTAGCTTCTCCCAACGGAGGGGTGCACTTGAGCAAGCGATGAACCCACCTAGACATAGTTCCCAACAGGGTCACTCTTGGTGCTGGGCATTCTCTGAGTTTGGACAAATGTATGACGTGTATCTGTTATCACAGTATGGTGCGGAGTATTTTCACGTTTAAACATCCTCTGTTCTCTGCCTATTCATCCTTCCCTCTGCCTAACCCCTGCCAAGCACGCATCTTTCTACTGTTTCCTCAGGTCCTTCTTTTCCAGAATGCCATATAGTTGGAATCATCCGGTAGTCGCCGTTTCAGACTGGCTCCTTACCTTGGTGATATGCATGTAAGTTTCCTCTGGTGTCTTCATGCCTTGATAGCTGCATTCATTTTCTGTGAATTCTTGGTTGTATGACTCAGTCTCTGTAAGCTTCAGTTTCCTCATGTGAAAATGAACCTCACCTTAGTGTCTATGCACAGGGTTGTTGTGAGAGTAAAAATGGGGTGACAGTACTTACTGTCATTCCTGGCCTGAAGAAAGTACTTTGCTCATTGATTCATTCAATATATATCTATCAGCTATTATTTTAAGGATTGTGCTATGTGCTAAGTAGAGAGTGTTTAAGCAAAACTGACATGGTTCTTGTCCTTAGGGAAATTGTAATCTGGAGAGAAAGTTTATTTAAACAAATAAAAATACAATTGAAGTTTTTGATTTTAAACTATGCAAGGAAAATAAAACTATTCCTAAAATAGAAAAATGAGGAAACTGGTTAGTGTGGTGGGTGTGGAGGGGAGGCGTGTAGGGACAGTTATTCTGAAGAAGTGATATGAAATTGAGACCTGAAAGTTTGGTTGGAACTAGCCAGGTGAAAGGCTTAGGGACAGGGGGGTGGAGAGCAAAGGAGTGTCCCAGGTAGAGGAAATAGGCCCTAAGGTAATAAGGAGCTTGACCCATAAGGGGAACTGAGAGATCCATCTAACTGGAGTGCAGTGAGTGAAGGGGACCTGGGCACACATGAGACTGGAGACACAGGCAGACAGCAGGTCTTGCAGGGGGTCACAGGCTCTCGTTGGGTGTCTAGTCTTTAGAGAATGAGGAGGCAAGAACAACAAAAGAAAGAATGATAAGGGAGGAAGGAAGAAGAAGGAAGATGAGGGACCTAGAATATAGGGCTGGAGTGAGAAAGAGAAACAGAC